CTCCAGGCTGAGCCCCCCCAGCTCCCTCAGCTGCTCCTGCTGCTCCAGCCCCTTCCCAGCTCTGTTCCCTTCCCTGGACATGCTCCAACCCCTCAGTGTTTGTCCTGTGCCTGTGGACCCCCAACCTGATTCCAGGATTTAAGGTGCCTGGCCATCCTTGGGAATGGCCATGGATGAGGTTTGATGGGATCCTCTCTGAGGATCCCTATGTTCTGGCTGTGCCCTGGCATCATTCCCATGCCAACCTCCAAACCCAGTGTCCCCCAGGATACTCCCAGAACAAAGTTATTTACACAGACACCATATTCCTCAGGAGATGCCTCAGAACTGAGCATTCCCTGGAAAGCAGGCCTCTAATGGATTGAGTTTCCACAAAAGTAATGACTATTGTTCCTCCCTATTGTTAAACAAATGCCTTTGCTCTTTCCCTGCTGGATTCCCAGCCTGGATCAGCCACCTCTGCCAACCAAACCCTGGAGCTCCCTGCTTTGCCAACCCCACAGTGCTGCTGCCATGGCTTTGAAGTCCTGCCTGCTTAGAAAGTCTGAATTCCAAGTGGGACGTGTCATTCCCGACTTTTCCATGAAATGGCTTTGATGCCAAGATGCCCCCACGAACACCAGCTCTCATCCCAACAGGAACCACTCTGGGCAGGAGGAGGGAGAACATCACCCTCCATGGGTGCTGCTCTGTGCTGCATGAGGCTCTTTGGAGAGCAGGATAGATCTGGGAGCAGAAGGCAGAATCATAGAATTCCAGAATGGTTTGGGTTGGAAGGGACCTTAAGGATCATCTCATTCCAACCCAGGAACCCGGGAGTCCCCACAATCCTCAGTCCAGCCTGGTCAAATCCAAGCTCCAACTGCTGCCATCCCCTGACTGACCTCTTAAGGGCATTTTCCAGCTCCTCAAGGACTGTGGGACGCTGTTCCCGTGCCAAAATCCTGGCAAAGGGTTGTAAACAACAGCCACTGGGCAAACTGCCACAGCTCCAGCTCCGCCAGCCAGCTCCGAGCTGCTGGAATTGCTGTGGGATGTGCCTTGTGCAGCTGCAGCTGCAGCAGCTTGTCCTGCCAGCTACAGGATTTCAGGGATCTCAGAGGAACACTGAATACGTGTGGAGGGCACGGAGGAACACGGAAATGTGCTGAGGTGCTCCAGGAGGAAATTCTCCTGGGACAGTTTCCCTGGGACACCGATGTCCAGAACCCACAGCCTGGGCTGATCCCACAGAGGGGCAGCAGGGGAGGGGGGGATTCTGACCCTCTGCCCCCTCAGCTGAGACCCCCCTGCAGAGCTGTTCCAGCCCTGGGAACAGCAGCAGGA